GTTTGTATGTGAGGTATAATTTAAAATAAATCGATAACGTCCATTTTTTTTTTGCACAAAAGAGTTTAGTTACGTCAACTAAATATGGGTCATTCCATTCAGCAATTTTTTGAGGTTGTGAAATATTTTTTTTACATTCTTTATCAAAAAAAGAACACACCCTTTTTTATTTCATAATAATCTAAAATGTCGAAAAAAATTCCGAAATTTGTAGCTCACAAAGAAGTATCTTTTTTTTCATTTTATGCAGTTAATAAACTGTTTATCGGAGAAAATCAGTTAAGTAATCAACATGTGCGTACTTAAATCGGCATTGCATTATAGTGTGAGATAGATTTAAATAAATATTTTGTTTGCATAAAAATTGCTTTTATTTATTATTTAGTTAAACACTTATTTTTGTTTTGAGTGCACTGTAAAAATTTGAGAATGTAAAAACCAAAACTGTAGAAATTACGAGTTTTTACGTTCCTGCTTACATAAAGTAGCAGTGGCAGCCAGCGCAAGTCTGCGCGCTGAAACTTAAACTTAAAATTAAAAGGTTATTTCGATTAGACAAAGGGGCGTGGCACCTCCCATACAAACGGAATTTTTCGTACTGCAACCCTCTGGAAGTATTTGTCGTGGAGTACTGGAACTTGATATGGAGATACACATATGAAATCAATACTATACCCTTGGAAAAAATTTCGGTTACTGGAAAAAGGCCCTTGGCACCTCCAATACTGCTACCTGTTAAAAAATGAACTACAATTCAAAGTATTTAACAAGTTAAATGAATCATTTATTACAATATGGACGTCGATCGAATCGTTATATCCCAGAAATGGTGATTCTTGGGAATAAAAGTGTCATAACGATTTTTAGAGATAATTGCGTGATAAACCTTGATAAACTAAATATTTAATGGTGATTTCGTACAACGTAACGAACAAAAAATTTTCCCACCCTTTGCCTTTAATTTATAATCGAACGCGAAAAGAGAAAGGGGCAATGAAAAGGTGACATTTTTTGGTAGAAACGAAATCGCCATAACTTGACCGGACTAATAGGAAACAATTTTAAAGATATGGTTAAAACAGAGTTTCAGTTAAAAAATATTAGTTACAAGGGTTATAATGCACTTCAATTAAGTTGACAAGTGATGAATTATAAAAAAAATGTGCTACTATTTTGTAAAACAAAAATTATTGAAAAATTCCAATCTTAAAAGATTTCCCCATATATATATGCTATGAACAAGTATATGTTATAAATATGTATATATAATACAGTTTCAGTGTTGCCACTTGGTGAGTAATTCCTCAAAAACGTGGGGAGTTTCGGGTGCGCTTGAATATTTTTTGAGGATTTTTATTTTGGGGAATTTTTGAATAATTTTCTCTCGATATGTTTGCAGATAACAAATGCAACCATGTTTTACACAACAGATTTGTTAAATCGCACTGCAAATTTGTTAAGCAAAAATCTTTCCGAAGTTTTATAAAGACCGAAATACACCACACAAGCGGCTTGTCAAACATTCTTCAAACCTACTTTTCCCATTTCGCCATACACCATGCAAACATGACTCGTTCAAGTAAAGAGTTTTAGTTTTATTTCGGTTCACAGTGTTCTCGTGCGTCCTGATTCGGTAAAAATTCCGTTGCGAATGAGGCGATTTTATCATACACAACGTAAGCGGTTTGATCAAACGCCAACATGGCGGCCAGAAATCAAAAAAATTTAATTTTTGTTCACGTTCCCCTCAAACGACTTGTCAAACCTTCAAACACCCCCATACACAACATAAATAGCTTTAAGGGAAGGGATACTTCGCTTGGTTTGTCAAGCCGCTTGTGTGGCGTTTTTCGCTCTTAAGCACATCTGCTGCTAAATATTCAAAATGTTATCGATAATTTTTTTCATTCCATCGTTATATTTTCAACTTATGTATTTTGAACTTGCAAAATCTCGGTAACGAATGGAGAGAGCACGCATTGTTCGATCGTAAGTATATTCATATTGATTCTTCATTAGATCCAGATTTCTTCAGGATCAGGTAAGTTGCCCAATTAAAAATAAAAAATTATATCTGCATTGCTTATATAGCCCTTTTCTAATGCTTCAATAGAACGTATATTTAGTATTTTAAAAATGTGTAGGGCTGACTTGAGGACCAGATTGAGCACTGATATAGGTAGTTGCAGCAATATTATATACAAACCAAGGCATAAAAAACAATGGTGATACTTTGTTTGAACCGCAAGTACAAATGTAGAACCAATTGAATTGGAAAATGTAATTACTTTTTATACTAAATAAGTACCTATAAATAGTATGCAGTACGCAATACTCATATCTGTAATAAGAAAATTCTGAGTAATTTGTTCGGATTATTACTTATTATACCAAAGGCCTGAACAAACCACGAACCCCGCACAAAATTCCTAAGCCGCAATGCACAGAGGGCCAGGAGGCATTCAAAAAAGGCCAAATGTTCACTAAAGAATTTTAATTTTTTATACTAATAGCCAAAATATACAGTATACAGGTAACACTTAGTAAAGTATTATGTCTACCAATTGCCTCAAAATCATGGTCACAATTTCAGTTTGGTTAAAATAGTTGTATTTGAAATTTACAAGTCCGGTGTATAGTAAATTCAATTTTTCGTTCCAGAAAATAATCTGCCTTAACCTGAGTTTCGCCCGAAAAAAAAATTAACCCGAAAATTTGTCATCCGCCCATAGTAAATACATGGAAACCACAAGTGAAAAGTGAACTGGTTCGGGGAAAATTAAACTCATGATAAGACTGAATGAATATTTTCCTTTTGTCTTTTGCTTCTTATTAACAGATGCAGTAAAATAAAAAAAAAATAGAAAAATATAATTCAAAATAGCCTTTGCTTAAAATAATTTTACCTCTTTCATTGAGTCAGGCGTTAATTTTTATGAATTGTGCTCGCTGTCGTATAGCAGTACTCGTGTGGACTATCTCACATCACAAAAACAAAACATGAAATCTTTTCTGCATTAAATGTACTTTAAGATAAATTTGCTCAATTTTGCACATTTTAAATTGTTTTTATTTTATTCATCTCCTTCACTGGCGCTGTAACCGCGTGAGCGATTTTGGTTCGATTCTTTATAAATGTAATGAATTCTAAATTTTAAGTTTTCCGAGTTGCTGATAAAAGTTCCAAGATGATGAGGAAGAATAATTTTATCTTTTATATATGTATATTAAAAAACTAAAATTTATTTTTTATTTTTGACAGTAGCATTCAACCCCCTCTTTTTATTGAAATTAAGAAGAACTTAAAAAGTAAACAAATCGTCAATAAATTTAAAATAATAATAAAAATAAAACAGTGAAGTCTACATTTGTAATTTGTAGAAAAATTATAAATATAAAAACTCAAATACAAAAAAAATAAATAAAAATACCAAAAAATTAAAAAAGTTAAAAAGGTACGTCTAAATTCGTGTAGCCTCCTTCTGGTGGGCTTCGGAAACTACATTTTATGTAGGCTGACTACAGGCGTATTTTTTATGCCGGCCGTATCGGATTGCCATTTCGAATTTTTTAAATCTAACTTCAAATGCGTGATCAGTGAGCCCAACAATCATAGAGTAACAAGTTTGAAGCCAATCCGATTACTGTGCACAATATTGTCCGCCATATTCGATCCGTCATTTAAAATTTTTAAAATCTGAAATCAGATTCGTAATCACCGACCCCAATAACCCCCTGTAGCAAGTTTTAAGCCATTCCGATAAGATTTCGAATATTGCCCACTTTTTATCGTTTGCTGGCCCATAGTGCAATGACTGCATTCAGAGAGGGACATAGCGCTTGAAGGACATGACTCTCTTTACAGATTTATTTAGTTAAACCTTATAGCTAGATACTGCCTGGAAATCGATTACCGCAACTTGAAGAATTACTTTTTAATGCTACATTTCCTTTTTTGTTGGTTTGCGACATTTCCATCCTTCATTTCCTGTGAGCGCCGCACACGTCATCCATGGTCATTGCTGCTGTCTCGCTTCGTCGCATTGTGGCTATTTGCAGCAGCACCACAGCATTCTAGCTGCTTTGCTTTTCCTGCACTACATATTACTCCTATACATATGTAAGTGCATAAGTACATAATCACTGATTCAAATTGAAAATTTCCATCTTGCACACCATCTCTTCGCACTAAACAACAACAACAAAACCCTATCCACAAATCTTGAATTGGATTGTATGCGCACACAAAAAAAAATATGTAGGTAGGCCTGCAATGTTCGCTTCTATCGTTGGTGTGGTTCTGCTGCTACTCGCACAGCCACACACACATACACCGCTATCCAATCCCAGGAGCGCACAGTGCACCGAATGACATAGCAAAAGTTAATCCTATTTTCCATTTGCTCGAATTGCTTGCACGACAACAAGGCCTCTCTCAGCTCCAATGAAGGCTGCTTCTGGTTGCTGGCGATGGTCGCAGAGCATTTCACAACATCACCACATATACATGCACATCCGCAGGCGCACATACATATGTACATACATATAAGTATTCATATTGCCGAGTTTGGCATTTCCCCTTCCGTGCTAAATCTCGCATCATACCGTTGCTTCTTCGTCGTCAGCGTCAGCGTCAGCGTCGCGTTGGTGCTGCTGTAGCCTCCGCCATTGCCAGCTTGCGAGAATATTTATTTCCTCTGCATTTGGAGAGAAACGCTCATCTACTGCCTTCCTCCATGCAGAGACGACCATCCCACTAACACATGCGGCCATTATTTGGGTGTGTTTGTTTTCCATCTCTGGGAGAGTGTGTGTGGGCAAGTGGGTTAGCTGGCCCGCAGATAATTTCTGCTTTGTTTTGTTCAATGTTGGTTCTCTCCACAAATGTCCATAGATATGCATAAATATGTACATATATCTTGCTCTCCGCCACTGTGCGCTAGCTGGATCCAACCAGCCGCCTCACTCATTATTCATCCAGGGTTGTCCGACTGGTTCGGTTACTTTTTGTTAGTTGCGCGCAGTTGCATTTGTGCTTGTGTTCGTCGTCGCTCAATTGGGATTTTACTTACTTATGTATGTAGACTTGTTCGTGTGCTGCTGCTGCTGCTGGAAGAGCGTCTGTGGCCTCCTTGCGTTGTTGCTGCTGCCACTATCCATCCGTTCGCTCAGCTGCAGCACGTGAACGTTTTTGACTCATTTTAACAATTTTCTTTAAATACAACTCCGTGGTTGGGCTCTCGCAACAGTCGTCTTTTATCTGGCCAACGGTAAAGGATAAATTGTGTACGCACTCGGTTGGATGTACGCACACGAACACATAAATACATACATCCCCCAAAAGAAATAATAACAACTGTGAACTGTGAATTATAGGTGAAGTGCTCTACACAACCAAAGTGAAAAGATAAGTAGACACCACATTGCTCTACCAACTTTGACTCTTTCGACGTCTCAAGTTTTCCTCACGCGCCCGCCGCTCATCTCTTTTTGTACTCGTGAATTACGTTTTTTTTTTTTTGTTGATTTGTTCTGTGGACTTTTATCGCCTTGCAGCGGTCGCTGCGTTGCGTACACCACATCAATCTACAACGCTGCGATGCGCTGCTCTACTCGACTTTGAAGTGAACAGAACTCAGTTAAGCTGCGTTTGTACTTCAATCAAACTCATCGTGAGGCGAATGTGTCATTCCGTGTGCGCCCGTGAACGTGGTTACATCCATCGCTAGAAACATCGGGTTGCTTGAGTTGTTTTGTGAAAATAAATTGAAGTTGCAGCAGCAAGAAGAGTTACTAACTTTATTAGCCTCAAGTAAATGGCAAAGTGCTGTGGATGCTCAAAAGTCAATGGAAAAACCAAAACAAAAAAAAAACTTTGCGACTTATATGTAAAAATTCAGACTTGCTTTTAAGTGCTTATCTTCAACTTGTGCAACGATTCTACAACTTAAATATATTTTACCAAATATGTACAGTAGTGCTCATCAACAAACACAAATTAATCTAAGCCATTCAAACAAAAAAAAATATTAAGTGAAAACTAAAAAGTGTAGATACCAAAGGATTTCAAATCGCTGCTAAGCAATAAGCCCCTAAAACAAAATTTAAAATATATAAAAATATTTAAACAAAAAAATAATAATAATTACGAAATAAAAAAATAAAAAAAGAGAAATAGTTGCTGTGATCTACATACTTAATTGTTTAGAGCAAAACAAAAACATAAGCTGGCGCATTACCTATCAAGACCAATACAAGTGAAACGAGAATTACTGCGAAAGAAACCTTAACAACTGACAAAGGAAAAGGTAAATAACAAACAAGGCATTAAAGTTTCAAAAACAAATTAGTAGTTGTCTGAGCTAAGAAACTGCAAAGGCTTTAGTGTAAAATTTTTAAGCTTATAGAAAAGAACCGATCTGGTGGACTTTTTGCACAGAAGTTGTTTGGCCAAAAGTTCACAAATATGCATGTATGGATTTTCAATACTCCATCTGCAATTTTTATAAAAACTTCTTTCTGATATTCGAGTTCCACAACTTCGAAAACCAATAGTAAATTTTACTAAAACGCGACATATAAGGATAATCGATGACAATTAATTTTAAGGTGGATTTCAATATCTGAAGCAAATTTTTGTAATATTTTGCAATACCCTCTATATTGAATGCAATATATACACATCTAAAGAAAGCTCAAAAAACTCAAAAAATATTTATGACAATTTATTTGCATAAATTAATTCCTAGGACTTATCTCCAATTAATGCAAATATTTTTTTCTTCATGATTATATTCACTTACAACTTATAGATTACTGTTATATCTGTTTTGGTATTAATTTCATCAAATCTGTACGATCCGCAAACTTTGAATTCCTTAATTCGCCCACCGCATTCATAAGTTTACACCATTTTAACTCTTGCAGCCAATTTCATTAAAATAATTTCAGCGAAAAATTATTTTTCTTGAAGTTTTGACTTTCAATTGAGTTATCGATTAAATGGCTTTAATGTAAGTAATTTAAAATTAAAATTTTCTGAATCCGTCTGGCACTTTCGCGTACATACGCACAGCTCCGATTTCGGCGCTTAACTACATAGTTGTTATAGGTATAAAAGAAATCAACTATAAAATTTATGACGATGATATTTACTTCATCATAGGGCCGTTCCATCGAGTAGCTTTAAACATATTTTTTTAGAACAAAATTTGTGTTTAAATAGCAGATAAATTTTAGAAGCTACTTGAGAAAACGGCACTTAAAATCTTATACATATATGTATGTATACTTATATATTTTCTTTGATCGATGCATGAGAAATTTTAATAAATGTAATTAAAAAGTATAGCATTTTTATAAAAAAAAATGCTCACCTTTTATGTGCATAGCAATTCACAATTTAAGTTGTTCTCGACATATGGTGAGCTTTCAATAACGTCTCCCTGGAGGCACTAGCGGAGGCCCTAAATTCCGTCGCCAATTGCAATTTATTCCCAATCTTTCCAATTGCCGGTCATTGACGGCTGAGTGAAGCTCAGTGACGATGCCAAAGAATGCAAACAGAGCCACTCTTTGCCCGTTGACGTAGACGCATGATGAGGAGATGTGGTGATAGTAGCTATGACTTCTGGGTAAATTATTGTTATTTTTCCACAACATTTTCTCATTAGAAACGGATGAAGCTCAGTAAAAATTTTTGAATATACATAAGAGTCATTTTAAATAGCGATTCAAGCACAAATCGATGGCTGAGTGGAAGATCGACCTATCTCGGCAGCCAGTTCGAAAACGCCGTGTCTTGGAATTTGGTTCAAAAACGCCCCATCTCAAACGAAAATACATACATTGACAATGAGCTGAGGTAGGGCGTTTTTGAATCGACAACTGAGATAGAGCGTTCTTCAACGAAATTCTGAAGTAGGGCGTTCGTGAAAAGTTTTCTGAGACAGAGCGTTGTTGAACAATTTTCTGAGAAAGGGTCCCTCCATTTGTGTGATAACATCAAGACGCACATCAAAATCGGTGTTAAGATAAAAATCAGACTTTTTTTAAAAAGAAGACACACGTCATAAGGGAGCACTACGTGTGGAAGAAAGGACTCGGATCCAAACACAACACATTCAATTTCCTTACGTCCCGGTCTGAAGTGACACAGCTTTCATACAATCGCTACTCAGCTACTTTGACTCTGTATACTAACTGGTTCAGAACGATGGGAGAAATCGTTTAAACCATGTCTGTTCGTCCGTTTAAACCAACGCCGCCCCCCCCCCCCTATTTGGAGGGAAAAATTCATAAAATTTGTCATCATATAGTTTAAGATAATAATAATAATAATAATAATAATAATAATAATAGATTGGCGCTTACACATATGTTAGTGTTTGGCCGAGCTTCTCCTCCGATTTGTGGCGTGCGCCTTGATGTCGTCACACAAAGCGGAGGGACCTACAGTTTTACGCCGACTTCGAACGGCGATTGTATTTTTATGAGAAGCTGTTTTTCATGGCAGAAATACACTCGGAGGTTTGCCATTGCCTGCCGAGGGACGACCGCTGTTAAGAAAAAACCTTTTTTCTATACTTTTGCGATGTTGCTTTGACCAGGGTTTGAACCCAGGCATTGTGGAGTGGAAGCGCGCACTGCTCACCACTACACCACAGCGGCCGACATATAAGATAATAATGGTAAAAAATATTTGGAGATCTCAACAATTTTTATGGAGCTTGAGGCCATTTTAAATGGTGTATATCCCAGTGACCGCAGTGAAAAAGTCTGATAGCTGAAATACAATGCCGGCGAACGGCGAACTCACCACAGCGAAATTCGCGCTGTCAAAATTAGAACACCCGCAAGCATATGAAATTGAACACAGCCAAAGCGAAATGCGAAGTTCGCTTGGCGGCGTTTCATGGCGATAGATTTATTTCTATCGCTCTGCTGGGCGATGACAGCTGTGCGTGCCAAAGGTGGCCGTATTTGTTTTGTGCTTTCAAAGTTTAAAAAGAAAACAACCTAAACACGATTTTTTTTTTGTTGTTTGAAAAATATAGTTGTGGATTCGTTAAATCTGGCTTGAAACAAATTATTTATAATAATCTTTCTTTGTTTTACATTTATATTTGTTATCATTTCCTCATTTCTAAATATGGTTTAGTTTTTTCTAAATATGGTCACCCAAATTATAAAGGCGACCAAATGGGATCAGCTGTTTTCGCTACCGCTCTAATTCTGTTTAAGTAGGCGAAATAGTTGGGCGAACGGTGAACGACAGCATCGCCCAATTCGGCGAAGTTTGCCGTTCGCCGGTATTGTATTTCAAGCATGATGAGGAGATGTGGTGATAGTAGCTATGACTTCTGGGTAAATTATTGTTATTTTTCCACAACATTTTCTCATTAGAAACGGATGAAGCTCAGTAAAAATTTTTGAATATACATAAGAGTCATTTTAAATAGCGATTCAAGCACAAATCGATGGCTGAGTGGAAGATCGACCTATCTCGGCAGCCAGTTCGAAAACGCCGTATCTTGGAATTTGGTTCAAAAACGCCCCATCTCAAACGAAAATACATACATTGACAATGAGCTGAGGTAGGGCGTTTTTGAATCGGCAACTGAGATAGAGCGTTCTTCAACGAAATTCTGAAGTAGGGCGTTCGTGAAAAGTTTTCTGAGACAGAGCGTTGTTGAACAATTTTCTGAGAAAGGGCGTTTTCGAACTGGCTGCCGAGATAGGTCGATCTTCACATCAGCCATCGAAATGAACTCTGTAAAAGAAAACCATTAAATACATACATAAAAAAAAATTGCAGTCAAATATTTTATTTGAAAAGATATTATATGTAGTATGCTTTGGATTTTGACGCCTTTCGATGAAAGCATTGCGTGCACTTTATGAAACTTACGTTTTATGTCAAGTCCAAAATTTGCACATTACATGTTTTTGTTCTAAAAATGTATTTTTTTTTATGGATTTTGAATGCTTATTATTTATTTTTTGAAACGACAAAATCAAAAAATTATACTAGCGAGTATTGAGCTTATTTGGTTTATTTGTATAGCGTGCTAATAATTTTATTATTTTTATAATTTTCTGGAATCATGGAAAAGATACATTTTTGTACCAGAATTCAATGTACAGTTGGTGTACCATAATAACCAATGTCAGTGATACTTCTTTTAGAAGCATATAATAAACGTTAAAAATTTGATTTAACTTGTTCCTAATTTTTTCTAAAATAAAATAAAAACAAATAAAAGTGTATAACAAATGACTAAGTGACAATCAAGTCAAGGTGCAGGAATGGTATTTTCAGAGATAGTAGTTGAGAGGACGAGCTATATTTAAGCCAGGAAGGAAGAGCTTCTAAAATATTGCAAAAAACTCGATTTTTCGACACTTTGACCTCGTTTTTTTTCAAAATCTGGAGCTGATGAAAACTTCATGCTTACGGATTCGTAATCAGCACAAAAAGTCTATCAAAAACAGCTTTAACATTTTCCGTACCAAAATTTGTTTCTATTTTTGTGAGGCTGTGTTATCCATTAAAAATTAGCAAAAATTCTGACTTCCGTTTTTTCTACAGAAATTTGTCCTTATGTGGTTCATAATACCCTTTGCTCCACTATTTAAGTATAGTTTTTCAATATAATTAAGTGAATTCATCATGCATGTGCAGGCATGGGCAGAGAACGAGCACACAATGGGCTAGCTTTTCTCAATATTCATCACAATCTGGATGTAAATGACGACTCAGTATAAAACGAATTTTTATCTAAATATACCTCGGTAAATTGCTTGTGACTTTTCTTTGAGTTGTGCTGAATTATATCCACAATTAAATACAATATGCTAAATACTTTAAATAAAGCAATCATATTCTTGGTTGTTACGAATGACTTTACATAAAATCCCTCATAAAGAGAAATCCTGCGGCCGGCCCTGATTCATATGTACATATGTATGTACAGATTACTAAAAGAAAAACAGATCCACATTAGCTTCAATCAACATATGTACGTATGTATGTATGTATTTACAAACATACACTGCGATTAGGTTACAAATATTGCGCCATCTGTTACTCAAAAGCCGAAATACCTACATACTACACATACTTTTTGTCTCCTTCTCTCACTTCCAGCGCATGCACGTGTTTGCAAAATGATGACGAAGTGGTTTTGTATGGAAAATCATTTATGCTCACATATTTGAATAAAATAAACATATTTAGAAGATATCGACTAATATTTCCCATATACCAAGGCATATTCAACATTCAAGTGACAATTCAGTCGAGCTC